TTGAATTTGTAGTCATTTGATTGATGGGTAAATTAGTTGGGAATTTGTTCACAAAACTTAATTTAAATACATAATACAAATGGGAGACAAATAAAAATATAAATGAAATTCAATTAATAAGCAAAATGAGTCAATAGACTGAAAATTATAAAATGATTTACATAACAAACAATTAGTTTTGAAAGTTTACTATTAATTGAAAATACAAAACATATTTTGTTTTGACATGAAGTTGAATACCCTCCCTGTATATGTTGTTTGTTTGTATAAAGGATATGAATTGTATAATACAACTTATAAATAATAATTTTTGTTGATATATAAGATATAATCTATTTTTCAATCAAGATTTCATTTAAGTATAGTATAAATACGGTATATAAAAATATGCTAATTTATGCTATTCTGTAGCAAAAAATATAACTTTAAGCTATTGTTGTGAATGAAATATATATTATTTTTCAAATTGTTCACTCACTGGACAAACCTATAGAAAGAACAATAAAAACATTTTTAAATGAGTAATTTAAATTTAATTATATAAATTTATAGTAAATTTTATTACAGCATAGAATTCAAATTAATTTTGCAGTAAATATTTGTTGGCTATTTAAAGTGTAAAATGAACAATTAATTAATTGTTAACATAATTATCTTTAATAATAAAAATGTAGCAATCAATTTGTTATAAGATTTAGGGCAAGAATTAAAATTATTTTTTGTACTATAAATATGTTGTTTTAGATATCAAAGTTTTTGACTTATAGCAAATGATTTATTGTAGTGTTTAGTAAACAATCACCTTTAATCTAATTGTATAAAATTGTAGCATTTAATAAATTTTAAATTGATATTCTCTAATTTCATCAGAGTAAAGTAGTTATTTATTAAATTATTAAATTTCATTCAGTATATAATATTAAAATATTCATAATGTAATAAGATCTCTTTAAATAACCGGATACAGTATTTGTTAAATTAATTTCATGTTTTAAATCTTATAAAAATGGACTAAATAAATAAAATGAAATAAAATCCCAAATCTTAATTTTTATTTAATAAATAAATAAATTATTACAATGTCTAGCTGTAATAATAACTACACTAAATTGTTTATATCTACAGAATTCAATAATAGATTTACTAGTGAATTGATTACTAGTAACCTATGACCCAATCACACATTTACAACCAATATAACTAATTGGTTTTCATGTATGGGAAGCATCATAGTATACATACAGTATATTCTTATTTATTTGCTCTCAATATATAATTATTAAAATTATCAATTCAAATGAATTATTTATAGAGATCACGAAATCGTTGGTTAACATTTTAAAAATTAATGCATAAATTATTGTGATAATTACTTAAAGCTATTGTAATGTTTGGTTTTGTACTGTGTTTAGTACTTTATAATAGAATTTATTTATTTATTTCAATATAAAATATTAATATGATTTATACAATATTATCGATATAATACTGATGCTAAAACAATTTACTTATTCGGTATAGTAACTAAAGTGTTGAGGTATTTAGAGTGAAGTAGTTATTCTCAGCAATTAGAATATAATTATAAGTATATCAATGTGTTTGATGTCCTGTTGAGAGCCACTTATAAAGTTATGCTGCAGTCGAGTGAATCACTTTTTATGAAAATGATTGTCAAATTGTGCTTAACTTTGAATTCGTGTTTCATTCAAATATTTTGTGTTATTGAGAAACGATGCATTTATTGATGCATTGAATGTATTTTATGAACTTAAAAACTATTCAAAGTCTACTTTATCGACAAATTTAAAAAAGATTTAATATGGTTTAAAATTCTTTAAAAAATAAAGTCTTAAGTACCTGTATGATTTTAAGACAAAACAACATATTTTGTAAATTTTTAAATGATTGTGAGCACGGAAAATTGAATATATTCACCAAACTTTAATTGGTTTAAAATATGTTTATTGATTTACGAAGTTTAACACTTAAAATTAAATATACGGAAGTTATGGTTTAAAGGTTCATAAAAAGATTTGAAAATATAATAATTATACTATCAATTTAATTAAAAAATTTATTACTACTTCATATCTCTAAATAATATTGATTATCACAATACTATTAGTGTTTTTCTACATTAAAAGGGCAGTGTAATATATTTTAATGAATCCACAGATAATTATTTCAACTCTTTGGACTCAAAGTTAAATATCAAAAACACAAATTAAATTGACTAAACAATATTAACTTAACTTGTATAAAAAGGTTTGAGACATTAATGAAATGTGTATTCTAATTACCCAATAATTGACAACTAAAACAATATTATAATATAACCTGGTTCATGTCAAATCATTGATTACTGTTAAAAGTGTAATAAAAATAAAAATAAAAATAATGATGTTTATTATTAAATCAAGAATAAAATATATTACAAATGAAATAATAGATGAGATTCATTTACAAGAAGTGATGGTCTAAGCTCTGGCTCTGGATCTGTAACTCTTAATAATGGAATCGCTGGCCAGGGATGAAGAGTCAATGTATTTGATTCGTGTGTTCGTGTGAGCGGTTCCCTCGACGGCAACACTCCTGTCTTTGGCCGAAGCACTGGACGGCAGAAGAGATCCCGAACGCGAAGAATAACTCGAACTTCCGCTGCCATAAGAAGAGCCGCCAAAAGCGGAATATCCGGCGCCACCTGAGGCCACAGTACCGCCGGATACCTGACCGGTGGCCACACCGGCGCTCGACTGTTGTCTTGGCTCTCCTTTGGCTATAATAGTGTGCGTCTGTTCGATGACGGGTTGGATCTGTTGAACGAGTCGTCTGTACGGTTGGATTATTTCTCGCACTTCTTGGATGACTGGTTTGACCACTTCGTGTACCACTCGGTGGGGCTCGTCTTCGCTGGACGTGTGCTCTGTCTCTCCCGGAACTCCTAATTGTGCACAAAATCATTATAATTTGCAAATATTATTAAATATATTAGTCATCAAAATCGAGACCAATACCTGGGACATGGGTTTGCTGTACAAACACTCGACTTGATTGTGACTTGAAGTGAACGGTGACCGGGAGGTCCTCTGAGGGCACTTCAATCACCTGAGGCTGTACTGGTTCTGAGGGGATGTTTACGGGCCTTACTTCGACCGTCCGGTGCGTCTCAATCGCCGCCTCTATTGGACCGGAGCTACCAAATGATTGGGCGCCACCACCGCCACCATAACTGGCACCACCACCACCTCCGCCGCCATAACTGGAACCACCACTTCCACCAAAACTGGCACCTCCACCACTTCCAAAATTACTGCCACCTTTAGTACCAAAGCTACTGACGCCTCCATAACCACCACCACCGCCACCACTACTGCCCCCAGAATAGGCGCACTCACAATAGACCACAAATAGTGATACGATTACCACAACCTTTTGCAACAAATTATATTCATAATTAAATTATTTTATTAAAAATTGGTTTAGACTTTGAATTGTAATATAAAAGTCAACAAACTTTACTATAAAGATAGAAAGATGAGATACCTTTTGCATTGTTAGTCAGGGATGAGAGTTATGGGTATTTGATAACAATTTGAATGATAGATACAAACAATTTTTTCTGTTCTTCATTCTCTTTATATAACTTTTATTCTCCTAATTTTCAATGCAAAAAATTATTACAAAAATAAAAGCAGTTTTTATCCATTAAAACAACTCTTTTATATTTAGTTATCAGGATTTGTGTCAAACAAAACACCACTTTTAATAATACATGTAATCATAATACAGTATTTTTGTAACAATTAAAATAAGATTATTTCTATTGAGAGGAAAGTAAGAGTAGAATTAGTAATGAATTTCGAAAAAAAACTTTCTTTACTATCAATGCCTTAGTTTTTGTTGCAATTTATAGCACTTTTCTCTCTTAAACTTTACTTTCGGGCTATAAATCTAATAAATTCAGTTCAAAATAGTATTTTTGAATCTATTTTCGGATGTATTTTATTGTGAAAAGAGATCATATAAGCCATCAATTAATTGTAAACTTTTTATATTTAACGGAGACTTTAAAAACGTAACTATTTTTAGTATTACTCGTACAAAACAATTATTATTTTCCGTTTACTCACGATCTATCCATTTATTTTACTTAAAGTTAAAAAAGTTTTTTCACAAAAAAAATCAAAAGTAATGATTTCCATAAAAAACATTTCATACAGAAAAGTTTTTATAAAGTTTATAAAGTTTTAATTTTTATAATTGTATTGTCTTTACATGTCTGAAGACTTTTATAACAACTAATTTTGAGCATTAAGTGAATATTGAATGGGTTTAAAAGCAAAACACATTTTGTTTGTTTGTCTCTTAGAACTAGTTTTTCTAAATTTAAATTATTTATTATTTATTTTATAATATAGTTATGCTTTTGTTTTGTTATTTTTTATCATTCGTTATTCAAATGATGATTATTATAATTTTCATTTGGTTCTCAAAACACTAATCTGTAAATAATTGCATTGAAATTGCATTTGAATTAAAACATAAAAAACCTAATTATTGTTAATTCACATAATAATTGAAAGTCAAGATAGTTATCAAAAACTAATTTATGTTTTGATGTTTTATTGAACTTTTCGTATAACTATAAGTAGAAAGTTGCATTTTCTTAAATTAGATCTTCGTAATTTACACCCAATTTATTTATTATATTTATAGCATATTTTATAAACTATTTTTTATATATTAATAACAAAAGTTTGAAACAATTCCTACAAAACTGAGCAAATATGCAATCATTATAAAAACAAGTAAACTAATTGAGTGTAAGCTAAATTGCATTGACTATGTTATCAATTGGATTAGTTTTACAAGTTATAGTTGTAATTAATTTCATATTTAATCAAAAACTTATAAAAATGTAAATGAAATGAAAGCCGAGAGACAAATGACAGCACTATTGATGACATCATTGTATTGCATACCACGTGACCACTCGAGTCAACACAATATGTAAACAAATAACAAAACTCTCGCTTTATTTTGGTTTCATTTTTATGCATTTAATTACAATTAGACTTATAATACGATAGTTTCATATATATGAAACATATATACATACAGTAAGTAGTGATTCATTGCATTCATTACTGTTGTGTTGAACATAATTGTCAATCACATCATCATATCTGCTGTGGTTGTGGACAGTTGTGGACAGTTGTGGACAGTCGTGTGAAATATGGGGAACTGTTGTTTCGGGGAAAGTGATGACAACTACACCATCGCCACCGCCAACACCAATGTATGTCTGTATATGTGATCCCTTGTCTACACATACAGTGAAACACTCATTGATTGTAATTATGATTGCATTGATAGTCCACTTCTGGTCAACCGTTGGCTACCAATCAAAGTCAATATAAGTCAGTCTCCAGAGAAGGTATCAAATGTTTGCCACAATTTCAATGAATGATGTGATTGTAAGCCATGTGTGACCCCTCCCTAACCCCTAACCCCACTCCCTGTCAGAGGTGGCGGCGGCGGCTGAACGACGGGTTGCGGATCAGAAGACTCGCGGAGCCAAAGGTGTCGTCAATCTGAAGGCCAGGAGCGCTGATTTGCCACAAAATATGGACTCAGGACTCAAATGGCAGGTCGGATGAGGCAGACCTACACACCCTTCCCACTGGTCCTCAATGTTTAGTCTTATTTATACGAGTTTTATATAATTTGTTAATATTTTGTTAATTATATTATTTGAATCAAAACATCAAAGATTAGCTTATGTATGAAACCAAGTAATGCATTGGTTGAACATTTAATATACAATTTGCAAATGAGTTTAGTTATTAGTTGATTGAGTTAATGCAAACAATGTGAACACCAATGTATTATTTAGTGCAACACATAAGCTAGTCTTTGAATTTTTGATTCATATATAAGTTATTCAAATTCAACACATTCTAGGCGTATATTTGTCACCAATTTAAGAGACAATCAATGAGTCAATTATTTTATTATTTTTTCTTTACAATAACTTAATTTTAGTGTTTATATACGATTTCCTTTTAATTTTAATCACAAAAATAGAAATAAAGCACTTATAATGTAAAATAAAATTTTGATAATAATTAATAATAAAAAAGAGATATATTTAATATAAAAAAGTTTGTATTTTTTGTCGACTTAAGAAACTTTAAAATTACGAGTTTTAGTTGTGTTTAGTTATGTTCACAATATTTATGTAAAACATACTTAATTAAACTTATGATAAAATTATAAATTAAAAATTAATTTTATTATATATATTTTTTATAATGTATAAACATTTAAAGTTTGTTTATTAAAATATTAAAAAAGACTTTTCACTTCCGCTATAGTTTTGTCACATAATTTCAAAAAACATTTTAAAAATTTTAAACCACTTTTGAGTAAAATATTATATTTTATTGGTTTTGATATTTTTTGTTTTGTTTGTCATTTTATTTATTATACTGTACTTGTGTTTGCTTTGAATGTTTGCTAATTAATTAGAAAGCTTTTTAAGACAAACATTACTCGTGAGGTGATTATAATAGCCGGGAGGCTATAGACTGTTAACAGTAATCCATTCTTGATAATTAAAATAATTAATAAATTAATACCAATTGATTGTCATATTAGATAGGATCTTAAAACTTTCAGCTAACTCGATAAATAAATGTCAATAAGTTATTTATATGAAGTAATCATTAATTCAATATTTATATAAAATAATTAAGTTTAACGGAAAGTGTAATTCTGTACATTTCCTTGGTTTTATGGCAATCATTAAAATATTTGTTTATTTCCAATATATTATTTATTTCATATTAATATTCATATTAATAAATATATATCTATTTATAAATTAAAATGGTGTTTAACAACAAAAGAGTTGAGAATAAATCATGTAATCAATTATATTCAACACATCTCTTGATTTATTTGGATTTCTATTTAACATTTGTGGAAAAATCAATTTTCTATTTCATTAATTACTAATGAATTAAATGGCTTTTTATGTTGTAGTAAAAGCATTGTATGAGTGCTTTAATTACAATATCGACCGACAATTTTCTCTCTCTCTCTCTCTCTCGCTCTCTCTCTCTCTCTCGTTGGCCTTTAAGAGGCGCTG